CTTAGATACCCTTGACTTCGCTTTATGTGAGCTCTGTCTTTAGAGCCATCCTGTTGCTCAGGGCTAACTCCCCTTTTACACATGCTTCACTGGAGCGGCCTCTGGATCTTGTTAGGAATCCAACAGATCCAGTCTGGGTCATCCATCCGCTGTTTGGAACAGAGGAATGCAAGCTTTAGGCAGATGGCTGGGAAGACTTCCCCTCTGTCTAACCACAGTGGTGTTAGGTGGGAACCTTTTGGAGGTCACTTTACATGAAGATGAACCTGACCTTTTGAAGATGTTGAAGTTCTAGAAGTCTGATGTTAACAAAAGAAGAAAAAAAACCCAGTCTCCAGTTCCCATGCTGTCTTCCCCTGCACAGCTCATTCCTTGCCCCTTATAGGGATTTCAGTCAAGGACTGCATGTTAGGATGTGAAGTGCAGTAATGCAAATATATAAAATGATCTTTGGACGAGTTCCCTCTTTGATTAACTGCATCTTCATTGCTGATGCTGGGTCCTCTCTTGAATCTTAGCCATGAATGTGGGGTTCTTTTGTCAGAGCTGGCAGACTTGAAAAGAATCCCTGTTGTTCTAATCTTGTCCCTTCTTCTCTCATTTCTCCATGGCCCAGTAGTTCAGGGTGGTCTCTCCTGAAGCCTCTTTTATATTTTGTCCTTTCCTGCCTTTCTCTCGGGGCAGGCTCCTCTCCTGATGGCATTTATCAGGCTGTGAGGCCCCTACTCAGCCTTATGGTGATTGTTTCTGTTGCCTGATGGATTAACACTGACCCTTTTCCTTGGCAAACTGCCACACGATGGAAGAATCAGTTCATTGCCTACTACTACTGTTTATAGAAGAAGGGATTTGGATCTGATATATCTCCAACTGGTATGTTCAGATTTCCACAAAGTGATCAGTGAATCCTTCTGCTGTTTTCCCTGATCGATGGGTTTTTACTTGCATGGAAAATTGGTCACCTGAATATCAAGATGTTCTGAAAATCCTATGGGGACTAGTGGGTGAGCCTGGGACTGTGCCAGGGCAGCCCATCTAGAGAACTGGTTATGGCTTGGTTTTCCTTGGAGTTTCAGCATCTGTGTCCGTGTGCATTAATGGGGGGTGATGGTCAGGATGTAGGCCCTGCATCTGCTCCTCTGCTGCCACCAGCACCTGTAATTCCTGTTAAAACCAGGTAGAGCTAAGGGCACCGGGCACGTGACGGCGTGGCCTTTTTGTTCTTATTTCTTGAGCTGATTTGATACTAAGCAGGGCTTAGTTTGGGACTTCCTTAGCGCTACTTTTAGTATCTCCCCTTTAAAATGGATCATCCCTCTGATTTATTTGTCCTTCTGGGCCATCAGCTTTTTATGTCATTAATTTCCTTTGACTCTCACACAAAATGAGAAGCACCTTCTGCCGCCATCCCCCGGTTGGAAAAGCAACCTGGCTGCGATCCCGGCAGTGTCCTGGCTAGTGCCATGTCTCTGGAGGCTTGGCAACGTGCCAACACCTTGGCCACAAAGCTGTGCCATCTTCTGCTGACGAAGCATGTGGCGAGCTGTGTCCCCTGCCCCTCTCGTGCGACTCCTCCTGAGCAAAGCCCTTGGTGCAGGTGGCCCAAAGCATCTGTCCCAGAGAGCCTGGGGACAAGGGGGTGCCCACTGTGGGAGGGGCTGCAAGTGGCCAGAGCTGGTGGAGAAGGTTTTTGGCTCTTGTGGACCTGTCATCTGTAACCACGTGAGCCTGTCCCAGGGCTCACCGGGTTTAATGTGACTCTCCCTGTTCTGTGGAAAGGAGACTTGAAAGGAGGAACAAGGGCTGGGTGGAAACTGCTGATGCTCAGCTCATTTTCAGTCCTTTATGCATTTTTAATATTAGATTTTGGTCTTGTTTCCTTCTGAGGTGCCAATGTGAGATTCTTTATGAGCTGGTCTGACCAGGCTCTGAGTCTCAAGAACCCAGTCATGTGGAAGGGATTCCTTCTTAGATGCAGCAGGCAGACTTTATCCTTTGATCCTGTAACTTCTGGCTCCTTTCTCCAAGTGACCAAGTTTTGGTTTTGCTGAGCAAAAGCCATTCCATTGTCACCCTTTTCTTAAAAGAGTTAGTGCTTAAAAATGGAGAGGATGATAAATAAAGTGATCTTTCACAATGGTTTGGGGTTGGAAGGGACCTTAAGGATGCCTAATTCCAACACCCTGCCATGGGCAGGGACACCTTTGACTAGACCAGATTGTTCCAAGCCCCATCCAACCTGGCCTTGATGATGAGGACCAGATATTCCTGCAGGCAGGGAAGGGGAGGGAATGCTGCATTTCACAGAACTTCAGTTGGGTCACACACGAGTGAGTTTTCACCAGTAGAACTGACTCAGGGAGTTTGCTGTGCCCCAACTCCAAATCTGGGTGCTGAATCATGAACTGCTGTCTTCAGCAGCTCTTGATGAAGCAAAAGATGTGGTTTCAACTGAATTTTTCCAGGAGGACCTCCCTGATGCTGACTACTTCTTGCTTGATTAATAATCAGATGCAGTGAGTCTGCTGTGAGCTTGGTGCACAGTAAAGATTCTCCTTGGGCACAAACTTGAAGGGTTTTAGCAGCAGCTGGTGTAAGTCCGAGGAAGCCCCGGCCCACCGCTGTCCCATAGAACAGAACCGGTGCCACTGGGACCTGCAGGTGGGGTTGGAGTGTTGTGAAATACACCCTGGTCAGCCAAAACAGCTCTAAAAGTTAATGAGGTGCACACAGAGGGGAATGGATTCCCTGGGGAGAGCGGGGAGGGCGATGGGAGCAGCCCCTCCGGAGGAACCGTGTTGGGTGTACAAAGCGAAACTGCGGACCTGGATTAGCAGGAGCAGTCCAGCACTCGGCTCCGTGCTTCCCATCGTCCCCAAGCCGTAGGATCCCAGCCCGGTGCCTGTGTGCCACTTTACGTTTCTCAGGCACTGCCTTTTGCAGCCATTGGTTCTCATGGGAAAGGCTGGGCTCCCCCGGTGAGTCGGAAATGTCTCAGGAGCCCAGTGCATTGAGAGTATGTGTCAATTGTTTCCTTCCAGGCGCTTTGGGAAGGGAGCCTAGAAGTTTATCTCAGCGTTTGGAACAATATAAACAGATGCCAAGCACTTAAAGTACACAGAGGAGGAAAATGTCTTGCTTGGCCTCCCTGAACAGACTGGGAGGGGGCAGAGGGGGGACACGGAAAGCAACATTAAATAAGTCTCTGCCTTCAGACCAGGGAAAAGCAGCAAAGTAATGCAGATGTTTGCCTGTGTATAGACAACTGAGTTTCATGTTACCAAAATCTGTACTGCGCACACGTGGTCCAAAGATTAAAGAGATTGTCCAGTTCTGTTGGCAGCATATTAAAGTATTAAGACTACAGGCTTACTATGATGTGTTTCTATTATCAAGCTGACCACAGAATTCAAGTGATTCAGGGGAGGATGTCATTTAATACAAATAACCTTTTGCATCAGGCTTCTGGATACAATCTTGGGTGTGAGAATCCCTTGGGAAGGGCTACCAGTGCCCTGTGTATCCGGGGTCACCCCACCCTCCCGCTCCTGCTTGTGCTCCGATAAGATCTCCCCTCAGCTGTCCCTGTGCACATTTAGGGGCCATCTGCCACGTTAAAGCTGATGTTTCCAGTTGCTGGAAGAGCTTTCTGGGTTTCCTTTGGCACGCAAGAGCTAAATCGGATCTTCAGGTGTCGATCCGAAGGTCTTGCTGCAGATGCCTCTGTGGCTCTGCCTGTTCCCTCTGTGGTGTGATCCCATTCCTCGGAGGTGGCAGTGCCAGCATGCCAGGCTGGAGGCAGCACACACAGGACTGTTCTCCTGTCACTGTTCTGCTGCCTGAGTTTGAACCCCGCTCAGCCCTGCACTTCTGTTTCTTCTATCCCTGGAAGTTTCCAAGGCCAGGTTGGATGGGGCAGGAGTGCAGAAAGCCCAGAAAATAAAACATTTTTATCAAACTCATCAAGATAACAATTGGCAAATGTAGCTGCAGTGCTTTGGTTTGAAATGAGAGTCTCAGTGCGAGGGGAAAGGCATGCTCGGGGTTTACGTGCAGCATATGAAATTTGGCACTCACTGCCTTACTAGTTAATTTTTGTTTTGGAAAGTGAGGAGTACTTAGGAATTGACAGGAACTTCTGTGAGTAGTCCTTCCTCCTCTGCTGTGTTATAACAACACCCTAATGGTACTTAGAACATGGTACCTCTATAATGGCACCTGTATAAAGGTACCTAATGGTACTTTGACACTTCTTATACAATAGGCTGCACAGTCAAGTGATGTAGATTTTGTTGGCCTAAGCTCTTCAATTAAGCTGAATCAGTTGGCACAAGGTAGTTGTTAAGTCCAGCTGATGTATTTGGCAAATCAAATGGAAAAATTAGTGTAGAATGTGTTTGAAGAGCACTCTAGTCAATATTACAAAATGAGTATGATGGCCTTCTGTTTTATATTTAAACGAGTCACAAGGACAAAAATTACCAGAGAGTCTGCACTGGCTTATGCTCTCAGAAATGAAGGTACAAAAAATACTTTTCCAAATGGAAGCTACAGAGGTCCAAGCTCACGTTGGAAGGCAAGAAAAACAGGACTAATTAATGCTAGGCCAGCATAGAAGGATAGTTCACTTGCCTGTTGGAGTGAAACAGGAATAGAACAAGGAGCAATGGGTTCAAACCGAAAGAGAGGAAATTTAGGTTAGATATACGGAAGAAACTTTTCCCTGTGAGGGTGGTGAGGCCCTGGCACAGGTTGCCCAGAGAAGCTGTGTCTGCCTCATCCCTGGAAGTGTCCAAGGCCAGGTTGGACAGGGCTTGGAGCAACCTGGGATAGTGGGAGGTGTCCCGGCCTATGGCAGGGGGTGGGACTGGATGGGCTTTAAGGTCCCTTCCCACTCAAATCAGTCTGGGATTCTATGAAAGGCAGTGTGAACTGTGCTGGCCAGTGATGCCCAAACTGCCCTGGGCTGGCATTAATACTTGTGTGCTTGTGTTCCCCAGGGCACCACACGATTTACATCGGGGTCCACGTGCCGAAGAGCTACAGGAGGAGGAGGCGTCACAGGAGAAGACCTGGGCACAAAGAAAAGAAAGAAAAGGAGAAAATCTCGGAGAACTACTCGGACAAATCAGACGTAGAAAATGCTGATGAGACGAGCAGCAGCATCCTAAAACCACTCAGTAAGTCCTGTTTCAGTTGTCACTCACTACAATGGTCTGTTGTCCGGGGATCTGCTAGTGGAGGAGGAAACTTGATCCATGAAAGCAGTCATCTCATGTTGCACTGTTGGAGAAGTCTTAGCCAGTTGCTGTGGAATGGTTGCTGTGGCTTGGAAAAGGCACAGGCTGGAGCAGACATTTCATCCCTCTGTATCACCTGAGTTGGCTCCTGAGCGAATGCCAGCCAGGAACAGGCCAACTGTTTAAAAGCAATTTGACTCTGTGTGTAAAAAGATAGCAGGCAAGGGCAAAAACTGAGTAGGTGCCTGGGCAGATCTATTGCAGCTTCTGCCCTGGCTCTGGGGCATGCGCCCGCTCTGGAATTCCAGCACCTCTTGCTTTTGGCTTCGTGTGTCACTGACTTGTGGTGCTAATAACTTTTTTCCAACAGTAATTAACCAGTTTAAAGTTGTGCAGACAAAAAGAAGAATGAAATGTAACATTGCTGTATGTTTGAGTCTCTGTAGGGGTTGAATATCTGAATTTTGATAGGCAGGTGAGGTCTGGTTTGCATGCACCGTTACTCTTTTCAGAGAGCAGCACCTGGAAAGGAAGGCAAGTCCTAGAATCTGTTTGCTCTTCCTAGCTCTAGTTCCCTGGTTGTCCCGAGAAAGTTCTCTTGTCAGCACTCAGAAACCAGGAGTTGGTTTTACACCAAAAGACATAATGTCCTGGCTTCATGAATTCGTATATTTTAAGTTTAATTTTTATATTTACGTCTCTGTTGTTCTTTGGCGTGCAGGTGACCCTGCCTGTAGCAATTCCTATTTGGTTTCTGAGTGTATCATACCCTAGGGGATTTGCTTCCACAGGCTAATTGTGCCCATGGTGGAAAGCCCATTTTTCCATCAAGTTTTCATGTTCTGCCATTCGTTTTGTCCATCATTGTTTCTGTGTCATTTGAAGAAGAGTTGATGGTGTTTTTTGTCTCTGTTGTTTCTATGCCTTAGTGTGTTCTCATCTACATTTATATCTGCATGTAAAAATGTGCAGTCTGTCCAGCTCCGTCCATCTGGGAATTTTCCTATCGTCTTTTCCCCTCTGACCTCTTTGCAGTGCAGATTTTTGGAATGTGATCACATAAACAGCACTCAATATTCCAGGTGTCCCACGTAACAGCGTTCATATCCCATCACTGGGACCTTTTCTCTGTTGTTCCCCATCTCACATATCCGGATACTTTTCCAGGTCCTTGCAGGGACTTGCTATTTCTC